ATAGTTCTTCATTCTCTCTCTTTTATTTCTTTTCTTTCATTGTCTCTTATTATGGCTTTCACCCTGAAGTCTGACAGCAGCTTGAGGTGTTTGGAATCACAGAAGCTGAGAAAGATTTAAATATAAGCTATCATATCAAGGGCTGGATAGTGGGAGATAGGTGTTGAATGGAGTAGCTGGGAGTAGAAGGGAATGCTGGTGAAGCAGGGAAATGGGTGATTTAAAACACATGTGTCAAGGGTGGGGGCAACACAGAAACTATTGGTTATTTCTAAAATTGGGAAATATGTTTCATGTGCTTTTTTCCATAAAATACTTGTCCATAAGATACTGTTCTAAATATGAGCATTCAGATTCAAACAGACTAAGAGGAAGGATAGGTCAGCCACTTCTGAAATAGCAGGCCTTCAAAAACCCTATGTGCAATAGAACACACTTAGACTAGCAGATTGGGCAACTGAGGTGAAACCCTCAATTATAGAAACACAAAGGAGGAGGAATAGTTGTAAGCAGACACTTGTGATTGGAACATGGAATGTGAGAAATATGGATGTAGGAAAATTGGGTATTGTTAAGAAAGAAATGGAATGCATAAATATTGACATAGTAGATATTAGAGAGATGAGATGGACTGGCATGGGGCATTTTGAGTCAGATGGTCATATGATCTCTTAAGCTGGAGATGAAAACGTAAACAAAAATAGCATTGCTTTCATTGTTAAAAAAGTCATTTCTAGATCCGTCTTGAAATACAATATTGTGAGTGACAGGATAATATTCATACACATACAAGGAAGTCCATTGAATCCCACTATCATTCAGATATAGTCACCAACAACCAGAGCCAAAAAAGAGGGGAAAAAATATTTCTACCAACTTTTGCAAAGATAGATCAAACATGCAATCAAGATGATTAATAATAATGGGTGACTGGAATGGAAATTTGGGAACAGAGAAGAAAGATCAGTAGTTGGAAAACATGAACTTGGTGACAAAAATGAAGCTGGAGATAGAATGATAGAATTTTGCACAATCAATGATTTATTCATTGCAAGTATGTTTTATAAGAAACATAAATGCAGGCTATACACATGAATTTCACCTGATGGTATGCATAGCATCAGATCGATTACATCTGTGGAAAGAACCTCTGGAGAAGCTCAACATCAGCTGTTTAAACTATGCCAGGTGCTGATGTGGAACAGACCACCAACTACTCATATAAAAGTTCAAGCTAAAGCTAAGGAAAATTAAATCCAGTCCACAGGAACCAAAATATGACCTTAAGTCTATCCCACCTGAATTTCAAAACCGTCTCAGGATGAAGAGATGAGGCCTTGAACACTAATGAGCGAAGACCACGTGAGCTGTGGGAGGATATCAAGAATATCATACAGGAAGAATGCAAAAGGTCATTACAAAAACAGGGAAGGAAAAAAATACCAAGGTAGAGTTCAAAAGAAACACTAGAGTGCCGAGAAGCCAAACCAAAGGGAAGAAATCAAGATCTTAAAGAGTTGAAGAGGTTTCAAAGAGAAGCACAGGAACACAAAGTTAAGTATTATAAGGAAATGTGCAAAGAGCTGGAGTCAGAAAATCAAAGGGGCTGAACTAGCTCAGAATTTCATAAGCTGATGGAACTGAAGAATAAATCCAAACTTCGAATTGCAATACTTAAGGATGCTTTGGGCAGAATATTAAATGATCCAGGAATTACTAAAAAAAAACATGGAGAGTATATAGTCACTGTACCAAAAGGAATTGGTGGACACAGAAGAATTTCATGAAACAACATATTAGCAAGAGCCTGTGGTGATGAAGGATGAAGTTCAAGCTGCTCTGAAGGAATTGGCAAAAAATAAGGCCCAAGGAATTGACGGCATCCCAGTTGAAATATTTCAGCAACTAGAAGCTGCCCTAGATGTGTTCACCAAGTTGTGCCAAGAAATTTGGAGGACATCCACCTGGCCAACTGACTGGAAGAGATTTGTTCCCATTCCAAAGAAAGGTGATTCAACAGTGCAGAGATTATTGAACAGTATCATTTGTATCACATGCAGGCAAGATTCTGCTGAAGGTTATCCAAAAACGACTGAAATAGCACATTAACCGAGAACTGCCAGAAGTATAGACTGGCTTTAGAAGAGGCCATTGTACTAGGGATATTGTAGCTAATGTTAGATAGATTTTGGTGGAAAGCAAGGAGTAGCAGAGGAATGTCTATCTGTGTTTCATTGACTGTGTTTCATTGACTATGCAAAGGCATTTGACGGTGATGACCACAACAAACTGTGGCTGACTCTAAGAAGAATGGGAATAAGTAGAAATATTAAGAATATATCAAAACTTTTCTAGTTGTTTAGAAAGCAATAAGAAAACAAAATAAATTTGAACTGTAATAAAACGATACTTTAAAAAACCACTCTGTTATTACCACCCAAATAATTTCAACTAAAGGCACTAAGGGGTGGAAGTAGCATTTAAACCTTAGTTCTGCCCATCTTATCTATCTTCATTTTGATTTACTAATATTTTTCAGTTATATGTGGTAAATCCTTCCTAAAAATAGAATATTATAAAAAAAATAGAATATTATCTTAAACTCTCATTTGTCACTTACTCTACTTAATGTCATATTTATTTTTAATGAATTTGACTAGATTATACCTTCCATTATTTCTATTTCACTATTTACTTTCTGGTTCTCTTTTCTTTCTTTTTCTTATTGTCCTCTATTTAAACTGTCACCACCAGATCTACCTTGTAACTTTCCAGTTGGAAGGCTAGAGTTGGTGTAATAAAAATATACTTGAGAGTTTCACGATGCATTGTTTGATCTTAGATGACCTACTTCTCTAAGTCAACCAGAAAAACTATTTGTCTCCTGTAATTACTGTTAAGTCTAAATGAGATGAATCATATCTCTGATATATAGATAATAAAAACTCAATAAATATTTTTTTAAAAGTAGAATGGGAATCATAGAAAACTTGATCGTGCTTATAGGAAACCTATACTTGGACCAGGAGGCAGTTGTCAGAACATAGCATGGAGACACTGCCTAATTCAAAATGGGGAAGGGTGAATGCCAGGGATGTGTCCTATCTCTATACCTTATCAATCTATACACAGGGCAAATTATACAGGAGGCTGGGTTCTGTGAGGATAAATGTGGCATCAGGATTGGAGGAAGATTGCTCAATAATCTGTGTTATGCAGATGACAGAATCCTGCTTGCTGAAACTGACTGCAGCCTTCAATATGGATTGAAGCACAACATCAAGAAAACAGAGATTCTCACCACTGGGCTGATTGGCAGCATCATGATAGATGGTGAAGAGATTGAGATGGATAACAGCATTAGTTTGGTTGGCTCCACAGTCAACACTCTTGGTGCCAACAGCCAGGAAATTAAAAGACTAATTGCTTTGGAAAAGTTGGCTCTCAGAGACCTCGCCAAAGTACTGAAGAGCTGCGATGTCTGGAGACTAAGGTGCACCTGATTCAGGCCATGGTCTTTGCAATCACTTCCTATGCATCAGAGAGCTGGACAATGACTAGGAATGATAGAAGGAGAATTGATGCCTTTCAGCTGTGGTGTTGGATAAGAGTATTGAATGGACTGCTAAGAGAATAAACAGGTTCCTCTTGGAGAGGGTGAAATCAGGCTGCTTTCCTCTAAGGGATTTTGAAGCTGTCTGACATACTTTGGATATTTTGCAAGAAGGGACCAGTCCTTGGAGAAGGACATCATGTTTGAGAGGGTGGAGAGACAGTGCAGGAGAGGAAGACCCTCAATGAGATGGACTGATTCAGTGACTGGGGTAATGGACATAGGTGTGTTGGAGACAATGAGATTGGCACAGGATAGAGCAGGGTTTAGGGTTGTTGTGCATAGGGTCACTATGAGTCACAGGCGACTCAATGGCACATAACAACAAAAGTATTGCCACTCTTCTTCCTAAAGGATTCCATTTGCTTGGCCTATATATTTTCTCATCCTTTGATTTTTTTAATCAATGTTTCTCCTTGTATCTTAGTTGTATCTCTTATAGACAATATATTGATGGGCTTTGTAATTTTTAATCCATTTTGCTACTGTTTTTCTCTTAATTGATGTGTATTTAAGCCTTTCACATTGAATGTGATTATTAACAGGCTAGTATTTATGATTGCCATTTTGCTCTGTTTGTTTATTATTACTTTGATTACTTTGTAATGATTTCTTTGATCCATTATTACTTTGGTCCATCCTCTTTCCTCTGCTATTTTTCTTTAGTATTTCTAGTAGAGCTGATCTTGTTTACACAATTATTTACACAATTTCCTTTTGTTTACACAAATTTCTATGTTTCTGCCTTTCTGCAAATAACCCAAATTTTCCTGCATGTTTGATGGACAGTTTTAGTGGGTACAGTATCCTTCGCTGGCAATTGTATTATTTTGGCTTTCTATTTATGTCATTCCATATTTCTCTGTTGTTCACAGGGTTTTCTTCTTTGTCTCACAAAGTTTAAGCATATTGTTAGAAAGGTGGGGTTTCAACAAAAGATAGGAAAACCTTCAACCAGAAGGATTGACAAAGTAACTGCTGCAGTGGGCTCAAGTATGTCCGAAATGATGAGGATGGCAAAGGATAGGATAGGATTCTGATCTGTTGTTCATAGTTCCACTGTGAGTTGTATACAAGGGCACCTAATAACACCAACAACAATGTGTTCCATCCCATTGTTCCATCCTATTAATTTTCATGGAAAAATAAATTCACCAGGCAAAACTTCATGCACTTTCTAAGTTTGTCTGGGCTGCGGTTGTTTCTTTTCTCTGTACCTCATCTCCCTTAGTTTGTACTGCCTTTTAGAGTGCAGTGATCACAAGATGATCTCAATGATCTCAGTTGGTTGGCACTTCTTAAACTCCCCTCCCCTCATATCACCAAGCTGCCCTGTAAGACAGACCAATTTCCTCAATCTTCCCACATACTTTGATTGTTCCTTCAGCTCTTAAAGACTCCAGTAAGAGGTCTATCAACAGTGATTGGAAGATCGAACTCCCTGGAGAATTCCAGATTGCCGGAACCACTGTCCACTATGTTAGAAGGGGACTGTGGGAGAAAATTTCTGCAAAGGGACCAACTAAAATGCCACTGCATCTTATGGTAAGTTGATGTATGCTTAGTTTTGTTCCAAACATGGCCCTCACAGAGTGACTAGTGGCCTTGGGTTGGAATTAAGATGGTGTATGAGTTCTGATTCCCAGTTTCTGATGTTTGCTGCTTGTTCCTCACTCTTTGTTTTTTATTAGTTTGCTTACAAAGTTTATATACATTGTGTTTTGCACTATTATTCATTCACATTGTGTTTCATACAGTCGTTCTCATCTGTTATGTTTTATAAAATTACTCACCATTGGACCTTGCCCATCATTACTCTTTTTTGCCTGGATCCTTTCCATTTCCTTCCCCCTCTCCCTCCACTTACCAAACTGTTCCACTCTTGACCATCTTTCTCTTTACCCTCATTAAGGCAGGCTTCGGGAAGAACTCTCTTCTCCCTTATCATCTTTGTGGCTCTTGGTTGGCATGGTTCCCATCATCTGCAAAAGAAATTGGTGAGCAATGGTGATTAATTGTATGAAACACAGTGTATGACTTTTTATGAAGATGGTGCTGAACTTGAAAAAGGAAGCCGCTGCCCCTTCCAAACCCGAAGCCAAAGCAAAGGCATTAAAGGCCAACAAGGCAATCCTGAACGGCATCCACAGCTACAAATAAAAAGAAGATCTACATGTCACCCACCTTCCTGTGGCCTACGATCTTGAGACTCTGAAGGCAGTCCAAATGCCCCCAGGAGGGTGCTGCCAGGAGAAAAATGCTTGACCACTATGCCATCATCAAGTTTCCCCTGACCACAGAGTCAGCTATGAATAAGATAGAACAACACATTTGTGTTCATTGTGGATGTCAAAGCTAACAAAGCACTAAATCAAACAAGCTGTAAAGAAGCTCTATGACATTTATGTGGCCAAAGCCAACACCTTGGTTAGGCCTGATGGAAAGAAGGCTTGTGTTCAACTTGCTCCTGACTATGATGCTTTGGATGTTGCCAACAAAATTGGAATCATCTCAACTGAGTCCAATTGGCTTATTCTAGATACAAATTTTTCTCACCAAATAAACCACAATGTATGGGAATGATAAACCACTATGTACATGAATGAAACACAATGGATATGAATAATTATATGCATACCAATGAAAAAACAATAATAAAAGAAATTCGCTCCAGAGTATTTCAGCCTCATTTGCAAGCTGCCTGTTAGATTCTGTGGTTTTGTTTTTTGTGTGTTGTTTTTTTTAAAATAAATTTTGTGTAGTGGTTTTATAAAAATGTATAAAAATTGTAATTGATACTTTTTTTAAAAAATAAATTTTTGTTTTATACTGCTTTCCTTACAAAGTCTGTATATATTGTTTGAGAGTCTGTGATTTCATATCAGATCTCAGGATATATAGCTGGTGTCTGAATATTAGAAACTAACTTGTAAAAATTAAATATTGATTCTGTTTCCACATCAGTATCACTCAGCTTTTCCAGACCCGTCCTGCAGCACACATTTGGAAATTAGGAGGATGAACTACATCCTCTATATATTTGCTTCCTAGGTGGTCTCTAGAAATGTGCGATTGTTTCAGGTCAAGATTCTTTTTCTCATCTGCTGTCTTAAGAGAGTCCCTTGTGGCACTGATGGTTAAGTATTTGATCAGTAACTTAAAGGTTGGCAGTTTAAACTCACCCAGAGACACGACAGAGGAAAGACCTGGCAATTTATTTCTGAAAAGCCACACTCTTGGAAGACATCTAGAGCCCAGTTGAGTCTGCGGGAAATGGGGTTACCCTGAGTGTTAACTGATTCCTCAACAATTGATATGGTCTGCCTCAAGAAAGAAAGACTGCTTTATATCTCTGATTATTCAACTTTTAAAATTGTTAACAGTATCCGAAGGAGAAAAATGCCACCGTTTCTTTGTTCAAAAACTCTCACTGCAGTCCAGTTAGAAGTGATTGGTAGCTGACCACTGATAGTGGGTTTTCAGGAGGCTGTAAACAACATGGAGGGTGCTGAATTTTCTCCCATGGAGCTGCTGGAGTATTTGAACTTCCAGGGAGGTGGCCTCTATTGGTTAGCAGTGACTGCCTAGTTCCTGATTATCCAAACTTAGTGATTCTGTATCTTGTTCCAGAGCATAGAACATAGGACAGTGCTTCTGACTGCAATGAAAGCACTTTTGTTTTTAAGATTTGTCAGTGTTTCTGCGTGGACACACTTTTCTTCCATTAATTTGTGAGCTTGGGCAACCAGTCACTGTTAAATTTAGGTAAATCTGAACATCTTTTCTGCCTGCTACCTGTGGTATCTCCTTCAGAGACTGGCTCTGCAAAGGAGCACTGCCCTTTCACCCATCACCAAAGGAGATCCTATATAAGTACAAATCCTACTGCAATTTTTTATAAGATTCCAACAAACCAGAGTCAACCAACAACATAACTGTCCAGAAATCTACTCACGCAACATACAGTTGATGGCATCTAGTCACCTGGTAGCTTTCTGGTTTCAAGCTACTGTACCTGAGCCATTTCTCCATAATAAGAATATTTCCTTAGACAGTTGGGAACAGGGAAGAAGGATCAGTGGTTGGAAAATATGGACTTGGTGACAGAAATCAGGATAGAATGATAGAATTCTATACAATCAATGATTTATTCATTACAGATACCTTTTATAAGAAACATAAAGGCAGACTATACACAGATGGTATGAACAGAAATCAGATTGATTACATCTGTGGAAAGAATTGTTGGAGAAGTTTAGTAATAGTAGTGGAAACAGGTGCTGATTGTGGAACAGACCATCAACTACTCATATGCAAAGTCAAGTAAAGCTAAAAAACAAATCCACAGGAATAAAAAATTTGACATTGAGTCTTTACACCTGAATTTAAAAGCTGCCTCAAGAACAGGTTTGAGTCCTTGCACACAAACGAACGAAGATTAGATGAACTGTGGGAGGATATCAAGAATGTTGTTGTAAATGTTCATTAAAATTAATTAAAATATGCAAAAAAAGAATGTTGTTGTTATAAGTGCCTGTGACTCATACTGATCCTAAGTACAATAGCTCTGAAGCCTGCCCTGTCCTGAGCCAGTGTCACTGACTCCGACACATCTTCCCCCATTGCCCTAGTCATGGTATAAATCCATCTCATTGGGGTCTTCCTCTCCTGTGCTGTCCCTCCACCCTTCCAAGCATGATATCTTTCTCTAAGGATCAGTTCCTCCTGGCCACGTGCCCAAAGTTTGTAAGACGGATCTTCAAAATCCTAGCCTCCAAGGAGAAACTTGGTTTAACTCTCTCCAAGACAGACCTGTTCATTTTCTTGGTGGTCCATGATATGTTCAAGCCTCTTCTGCAGCACCACAACTCAAAGGTATCATTTCTTCTGTCATCCTTAGTCATTTTCCAGCTCTCTGATGCATAGTAAGTAATTGTATAGACCATGGATTAGATCAGGTGCTCCTTAGTCTCTAGACTGCCATCATTGCTTCTCATACTCTGAAAGGTCCCTGACATCAGATTTACCTAATGCAGTTCATCATTTGATTTCCTGAATGCTGGTGCCAAGAGTGTTGATTGTGGAGCTGAACAAGATATAACTGTTAACAGCCTTGGTCTCTTCTCCATCTGTCATGGTGCTGCCAGTTGGCCCACTGGTGAGAATCTTTGTCTTGAATCCTTGATATTGAACTTCAATCCATACTTAAGAGTACAGTCCTTAACTGTCTGCAGCTAGCACTTCAGGTCCTCCTCATTTTCAGCAAGCAATCTGCATAACATAGGTTGCAAATTAATCTTCCTCCAATCCTGATGTCGCATTCCTCCTCATAAAGCTCAGGTTCCTGAATGATCTGTTCTACATATAGATTGACAAGGTGTAGAGAGAGGACGCATCCTTGACACATCCCTTCCTGATTTGAAACATGCAGTGTTTCCCTGCTTTGTTCTGAGGACTACTTCCTGGTCTAAGTATAGGTTTTGCATCAGCCCAGTCAAATGTTCTGGGATTCCCATATTCCTCAAGCTTAGCAATAATTTGTTTTGATCCACACAGTCTAATGCCTTTTCATAGTCAGAGAAATACAGACATTACTCTCATACTCTCTGCTTTCTGCCAAAATCCACCTGACATTGGTGATACTGTCTCTAGTGCTACAGCATCTTCTAAACCCAGCTTGTATTTCTGGTAGTTCTCTGTCAGTGTACTGTTCCAATTGTTTCTAGATAATGTTCAGCAGGACTTTGCTTGCATGTGATAGAAGTGATTTCCACACTCTGTCAGGTCACCTTTTTTTTTTGGAATGAATCTTTTCTCATCCACTAAGAATACAGAATGTTATTACAAAGATAGAGGAAGAAGAAAAGACAAAGATGGATGTCAGAAGAGACTCTCAATATTGCACTAGAGTGCCAAGAAACCAAAGCAAGGGGTTAAGAAGTTAAGGGGCTGAATAAAAGATTTCAAAGGACAACATGGGAAGAAAAAAGCAAAGTATTATAACAAAAGGTGCAAAGAGATGGTGTAGGAAATTCAAAAGGGCCAAACTCACTTGGCATTTCTTACCTGAAGGAAGTGACAAACTAATTCAAGCCTCAAGTTGCTTACTTAAGGATGCTCGGAGCAGAGTACTGAATGATACAGGAAGCATTCAAAGAAGAAGAAAGGAGTATACCAAAAGAAGTTGGCTGACACAAAAGTATTTCAAGAAACAACATATGATCAAAAGGTGATGAAGGAGGAAGTGCAGGCTGTTCTGAAGGACTTGGCAAAATATAAGGCCACCGGAATTGATAGAATACCAAATGACATATTTTAAAAAAAATACTTCCCTGGACATGCTCACAAGATTGTGCCAATAAATATGGAGGACAGCTACCTGACTGGAAGAGATGAATATTTATTACCATTCCAAAAAAAGGTTACCTGATAGGAAATTATGGAACAGTATCACTAATATCACATGCAAGCAAAATCCTATGTAGATGATCAAAAAATGACTGGAGCAGTGCATAGAGAACTACCAGAAATACACACTGTGTTTAGAAGAGGTCATGGCACTAGAGACTTTATTGCCAATGTCAGATGGATCTTGGCAGAAAGTAAAGAGTCCCAGAGGATTGTCTATGTCTGTGTTTCATTGACTATGCAAAGATTTGACTGTTTGGACCACAACAAATAGTGGCTAACCTTGAGGAGAATGGGAACCCCAGAACACTTACCAAACCTATACTTGGAAGTAGTCCTCAGCACAGAGCAAGGAACCACTGCATAGTTCAACATTAGGAAAGGAGTGCATCAGGGATGTGTCCTATCTCCCTACATTTTTAGTTTATATGAGTTTATATGCAGAACAGATCATTTGGGAGGTTGGACTTTATGAGGAGGAATGTGACTTCAGGATTCGAGGAAGACTAATCCACAATGTGAGTTACGTAGATGATACAGCCATGCTTGCTGAAACCGAGGAGGACCTGAAGAGCTTGCTGCACAAGGTCAAGGACTGTAGTTTTCTATATGGATTGAGGCTCAACATCAAAAAGTCGAGTCTCCCCATTGGGCCAATTAGTAGCACCATGATAGATGGAGAATAGATTGAGGTTGTTAATAATCTCAGCTGTTGGCACCAGCAGTCAGGAAATCAAAAGACAAGTTGTACTTGGAAACTCTGAAGTCAGGGACCTCTCCAGAGTACTGAGAAGCAACAATTTCAGTCTACAGACTGAAGAGTGCTTGATCTAGACCATAGTCTTCGCAGTTACTTGCTATGTATCAATGACTAAGGATATAATGACTATTTATCAGTGACTAAGGATAATAGAAGAAGAATCAGTGCCTTTGAGTTGTATTACTGGGAAGAGTATAACATGGACTGCCAAGAGAACAAATAGGTCTGTTTTGGAGAGGGTGAAACCAAGTTTCTTCTTGGAGTTTAGGATCTTGAAGCTCCATCTCACAGACTGCATGTGGCCAGTAGGGACCAGTCATTGGAAAAGGACATCATGTTTGTAAAGGTGGAGGGGTAGCATATCAGAGGAAGACTCTGGATGAAATAAATTGACATAGTAACTGGAGAAATGGGGGTAGGTGTGTCAGAGTCAGTGATACTGGCTCAGCACAGTGCATATTTCAGAGCTGTCGTACTCGGGTCACTATGAGTCACAGGCAGCTCAACAGCACATAACAAACAGCAAGAAAAAGCTATGCTGCAGTCCTAAAAGCGCACAGTTTGAATCCACCAGTAGTTCCATGTGAGAAAGATAGACAATCTTCCCCTGTTGGATTAAATGCCTCTGAGAATCCACAGGGTCAGCTATGAATAGGTTTCAACTGGATGCTACCCAAAACAATATCTGTGTCATAGTAGAACTGTGTCCCATGAAGTTTTCAGTGGTTAATTTTTTTAAAATACAGATTTATTTATTTTTTAGGCAACTTGTGGTACCTCAGACCTTCACCTATTCCCTTAGTAGACAAGGAAGTTAATTGTTTGCACCACTAAAGGATTTAGACCCAGTCCTCTTGTTATGATTTTAAAATGTCATTGAGAGGAACTAAGGAGACAAAAGACACACACAAGCCCGGGCACACACACACACACACAATTTAGAAACATCCTTGTTAGCACATGAATTTTCTTTTTTCTAGCAAACAACAAAATAGGTATATTTTTCTTCTTTCACTTCAAATAAAACCTGTAAAACCTGAGCTAAGCCTGATAAAGGTACTTAGCCTGGATTCATTCAGACCACAAAAAATAAAACTCAGAGAAATAAGTGTCATGGCTGAAGTTCCAGCCCTCATTTAACAGCAGCTCTCTTTCTCTTTTAACATACGATTGATAATAAGTTTTTAAACCTGGAGAGATAAGAAGGTACCCTACTACCTCTAAACAAAAAGCTACTTTTCCCGTGCTGAGTACACACATTGCTTACAGCATCAGGAGCCCCAGGAAAGCCAGGAAGACCTGCATTTGAAATCAGTTACACACACGCAAACATAAATTATGAGTTGTTCCAAATTTGCATGAAATTGGTTTCATATGAATTCTTAATTTCCATACTAAGATAATAGATACCTCTCTTCAAGTTCATTTTCTTGTTGGTTAAAAAAAAACCAAAACAACAGCATACAAACTGGAGACATTTTCCAAATGTGTTCATGCAAGTATATTTCTTAGTGAGCTCTGTTTCTCTCTCCATTCCACCTGTCCTGCCTTACACCCTCAACTTCTAGCTCCTGCTGGCTTGTCCTCCTAGATCTGTCAGGCTGGGTATTGCCCATTGCTCAGACACATTTTACACATGGTTGCAAGCTCTAGTTAGAAGTTGGACAGTCCTCACTCAGGGTACTGTAAGTTCTACTGAGAGATTGTTCAAACCCATTAGACCAGTAGCATACATGCCGACCTAACTAGATGATTGCACGTGTTGCCAAAGAACAGACATGTCTCTGTGCATACTCTGACACTGTATGCATAGCCATCAATCCAGTTCTTGTAGTGACAGACATTGCATGTCTTCATGAACCACAGAAAAGACTCATGCATTCTTGGGCCTCACGGCTCCCCAGTTGTAGCTTAATTTCCTCCAAGTCTGCTTTTCCTTGCACTCTATGAACCAGTTTTCACTAAGGAGGGATTAGTGATAAAGTTGTTATTGTTTGTTTGCTTGCTTGTTGTGGTGGTTGTTATGTGTCATTGAGTCACCCATATTGACCCTCTCTACAACAGCCCTAAACCCTGCTCTATCTTGAACCAACCTCATTGTGTCTGATGCCCCTAACCCAAGACCCCATTCACTGAGTCAATCCATCTCATCCATGATCTTACTTTCTTGCACTGTCCCTCCACCCTTTCAAGTATGATGTCCCTCTCTGACTAGTGCCTCCTGGCAATGTGCCCAAAGTATGTTGGATGAAGTTTCAAAATCCTTGCCTCCAAGGAACAGTCTAGTTTCACCCTCTCCAGGACAAACGTGTTTGTTCTAGCGTTGTTATTAGGTGCTGTCAGTTTGAGTACCTCTCATCATGAGCCTATGAACAACATAGAGCTTAGCCTTACCCTATCCTGCACTACCCTCACCATACGACCCCGTTGTTACAGTCACTGAGTCCATCTTGTTGAGGGTCTTCCTCTTTCTTTAATACTCTACTGTAGAACTGTGTTTCCCAGGGTATTCCGTTACTGATTTTTAGAAATAGATTGCCACATCTTACTTCTGAGACACCTTGTCATGTATCTCTCCAGAGACCTCAAGGTCTTTAAATTACAGACTTAACATTCCACCACCCATTCACTCCCCCAAAAAGTTGCCACCCAGTTAATTCTAATCTGGACTCCACAAGGCTATGTGATTGTGACCTTTTCAGAAGCAGACTGCCATACCTTTTTTCCTCTGCACCTGGATGACTTTGGACTGCTAATTGTTAGGATGATTAATGGTTGTTATTTTTGTTCTTGTTAGGTGCTGTGGTGTTGACCGTGACTCATAATGACCCAAAGAACAATAGAACTAAAACTTACCATATCCTGTGTCATCCTCATCATCTCTGCCATGGTCAAGCCCATTGTTACTGTCCACTGTGTAGATCTGTCTCATTGAAGGTCTTCCTCTCTTTTGCTGACCCTCTCTACCTTCCCCAGATAATGTCTTTTTCCAAGGACGAGTGGAGCTTAAACCATTTCACCACACAGAGACTTAAAAATGTAATTCAAGTCCACAAAGCTGCTCCTCCATAGTCTAAGCATGTCCTATGTTCATTGGAAAGGACTCTCTTTGAAGGTAGCATATGTCTTGCTCCAAGGACCCCAACTTTACACTGAATCTACATGAAGCTGGGAATGGTGTGGGTGGCCCTTTAGAGAGACAGCCACTAATGAGAGTTGGCTTGAAATTCACCAGTCGTGTATGCTTTCTATCAGTTTCAAACAGTCCTTTTATTTTGCTGCTGATCCAGGTGTTGTTATTTCATGACCAGAATTATGGAATTCATTACGAATACACAGTTCCTGTAAACTACTCTCAAGAAAATCAGAGCAAACCAGAAAAGCCACAGGATTTGCTGTTCATCTGGACACACAGTGGCTGGGAAGGGTGCAGCATGCAGTGTGGAGGAGGTAAGCTGCTGGGGCCCACACTGAGGGGAAAAGTAATTTTGGACCCGGGGACCAGTACACCAGCATCTGAGAAAGATGAGCTGTGGAACCCAGATCACCATGAAAATTTAGTGACTTCCTACTGAAAAGCTGCCTGACAGAGCCTTCCCAATCCGCACAAACTCAATTTATACCCACATTGCTGCTCAGTTCATCAAACAGGCCTCTGCACTAACTGAATGGAGGTTTGATCATGGGTGACTACACCACAGGCATGCCTGGCTGACCTGAGAATGGCCTAATTATGGACCTTTATTTAGTGCTGTTGTGGCAAGAGGCACCAGAGTCTTCTCTGACCAACAAGAACATTTTGTTTTGCTCCAATAAACAAACTCCATGAAGTGACAGGAAGGAAAAGACCTAAAGGTCTTCAGCCTGAGACATATAGAGCTTCAATTTCTCACTGGACCTTAGCCAGTAACTCAAGCACTCTAGGTTTGAATTTATATCCTCCTAGACTGGTGTTATACTGTTCTCTGGCTACAGGGGGCTTCCGGGTAAGGCAAGGGCATTTCTATACTCTAGAAAGTAATATAGATTAAGACAGTGGATAGTAGATTTGTCCATGGGTTACTGCACCTCCGTTTGTCACCTTAGCAAGGTAGGGTCATGGAAGAGGGGACAGAGCAGAGTAGAGAAGGAAAGATGACCTAGATTATGGAATGCAACTCAAAGGCATATCTCATCTCTTCCTAATCTTGAGCCAAAATAGCATTTGTCAACTGTCAAATACATATAAGATTGTTATTTATGTAAGTGACTTGTGCCTTTACTGATGGGTTGAACTTATAGTCCATTAAACACTGTCAGGGACAACTGTGAAATCCTCATCCTCTGCTTGACTAACAATCACCATTTTTAGTCCCTAACTCTTTCACAGGCAGTTAGTGATAGTTGCAGTAACCTCAGATGCCACATCAGCTCCTGTCCTTGCACTGTGCCTCTCTCTGCTCACTATGCACCTCTCCCTCTGAGGCCCTGTCTCCCAAGCTATTCGTTATCCCCCTTTACTGAGAGCCTATCAGCCTCAAACCCAGACAAGATTCATAACTCTGTCTGCAACCAGGTTTTTCTGTTTGAGCATCTTGCTACAAAACAGGCAGTGGGGACCTGCCTTGCTGTCACTTCTGACCCAGTGGCATTCTTACCTAACACCAATATGTCTCATCCCCAACATATCAAACTTGCTGTAACAACTGAAACTGCTCTGTGCTTCCCTTACTCATTTCCAACACAGCTGCGGCTGTGAACAGTAGGAGGCTGATAGCTTAATCCAGTCCTCTGTTATACAGAATCATGCCCATGTGATGCAATACCAGAAGAAAGGCCCAGCAAGGTGACTGGAATCTACATATAGTGCTTGAAATCCTATTGTTGTTGTTGTTGATTGCCATTGAGTTGAGTCACGACTCATAGCGACCCTGTGAACAAAAGGCCTGAAGCCTTTTTTTTTTTTCGTCATTTATCAAAGTTCATAGAGTTTCCGGAGGCATGGTGTTTAGGAAGTGGATGCCATTCTTGCTTCCAATGAAATTCTATTAACCTTTTCAAATAATAATAACAATACAGGATTGCTATCTGTGATATTATCTACCCTCCAGACTGTTATGATAGACACAGGACAGGCTTCCCTATTTAAAATCAGGAAAGGTGTGCATCAAGGTTTTATCTACTCTCCACACCTATTCAGTCCATATGCTGAGCAAATCATTTAAGAAGCTGTACTCTCTGAAGAAGAATGTGGCATCAGGATGAAGAGAAGACTCAACAACCTCCTGCATCATTCAGATGACACAAACTTGCTGGCTGAAAGTGAGGAAGACTTGCAGCACTTGCTATAGAACATCAGAAAATTCTTCAATATGGATTGCATCTCAGCATCCAGAAGACAAAAATCCTCTTCACTGGACAGATAAGCAATATCATGGTAGATGGAGAAAAGATTGAAATTGGCAGTGATTTAATCTTACTTGGATCCACAATCATCATCCTTGGTACCAGTAGTCTGGAGATCAGGAGACGTATTGTGTTGGGAAAGTTCACTATTAGGAACCACTCCAAATTACTGAGGAACTTTGATGTAATTTTAAAGACTAAGGCATGCCAGATTCAGTCCACAGTCTTTTTAGTCACATTCAATGCATCTGATAACTAGACAATAAGATGATAGAAGAGGAATTCATACCTTTGACTTGTTGTATTGGAGAAGAGCAGTGAATATCCATGGACGGCCAAAAGAATAAACAGACATGTCTTAGAAAAAGAGCAGCAAGAATGTTTCTTTGAGGCAAAAATGGTGAAGTTTTGTCTCATATATTTTGGGCATGTTGTTAGGTGAGGCTATTCCTTAGAAATGGACATCATGCTTGTAAAGTTGAATGGTCAGCAAACTACAGGAAACCCCTCAATGAAATTAGTTGACATAGCATCTGTGTTAGAGATAAGGAGGATGGCCTAGGATATGAGAGGGTTCAGATCTGTTCATAAGTTCACTGTGAGTCATACTTAACCATATAGCACCTAAGACCATCAACAGAAAAACATCAAGGCACAGGGAGTAAACTAACACACTTTAGGAAACTGAAGCACCGAAAGTGTGGTAGCTAACCATTTATTATGTTAATAATCATTGATAAAGGACATGACTTGTAGCCAAGTCATGGACTGGATGCTCTCAGAACACCCAAGAGACATTATGACAGGCTGTATCCAACTGGGAGTTAGGGAACCTTACCAAGAGCAAGATTCCTGGCAGGACAAATTCTAAAGTTGGTTCTGAAATTGATGCCTGAAGGATATAGGACTATATGTCCTATGTACAAGCTTCCATGCCCATCATTTCTCCAAGAAAGTGGGAATCCTAGAATTGGAAGTTGTGTTCTCTGTTAAGAAACAATGTTACTACCCTTGTTTTTGGTTGCCATTAAGTCAACCCCAGCTCATGACAACCAGTGTACTCTGAATGAAACATTGACTATTCTTGTACCAATCTTTACAATCATTGGCAAGTCCATTGTTGCAGGCACCATGCATTTTGAGTGTCTTTCCACCTAGGGGACTTATCTTCTAGTAATATATCAGAGATTGTCTCATTGTGAGTCATAAAATTGTCATTGGCTAATTTTTGGAAGTAGACAAACCTTTCTTTCTAGTTTGTCTTAATCTGAATTTCCGCTGAAATCAGCCACTGGCTCCACTATGAGCAGTGTACTTGTATTTGAAATATGATGGCATACCTTTCATCATCACAGCAAGATGTAAGACATCTAGTACAACAAACTGACAAATGGTAGTAGGAGGTTGAAGTACAGGCATTTAATATCTACATGGACATCAGTGATGATAAGGTAGGAAAATTTTGGTGCAAAGCAAAGTCTCAAATTAGAACTTCTGCTTCAGTATCTCCAGTTATCCAAGGAGACAGTGACACCTGTTCTAGAGACTTTCTCCTGCTCCATGTTGTCTATCCATGACTTACATGCCCTCTCCCCTAATATCACTGATCTTATCTTGCAACAATTAAGCCTTTGGATAATGCACTTAAATGAAAAACCAATCAAATTGACAACAAAACTTAACCTCTGTAAGTACTAGTAGTTTTCCTGCATGGTGTGGCTGACTCAGCCACTCAGCAAACCTTGCGATTTGATTTCCAGGGGAACGTAGAACCATTGTGTCTTGTACACAAATTGTTAACAAGACCATGACCCTGGTGAATGACAGTGACTGCCCACCAGCAAGCCGCCCAGAGCCCCAGATCCGGAAGTGTAACTCACACCCATGCCAGTCACGGTAAGGAAACTGCCTCTACTACTGGGTTCCTTTGTGTATTGGGGAATTACCACTTATGAATGGTGAGATGGAAATATACCATTGATACCACAGTACTATGCTATAGCATATTTCCCATTTTTCTATTTAGGAAATGGCTCCTACCTAGTTTAAATAGACAACTTCTGCTATTAAACCGTAACTATTGTTGTTTGTTGTCGATTGCCTTCAAGTCGAGCACAACTCATAACAACCCTATGAACAAAAGGCCTGAAGCTCTTCTACAACTATAGACATTTATCAAAGATCATAGAGTTTCCAGAGGCATGTTGTTTAGGAAATTGATGCCACTTCTGTTTCCAAACCTGTCATACTATGTTATTGTTGTTATGTGCTGTTGAGTCACCTGCAATGCATAGCGTGCCTATGCACAGCAGCTCTGAACCCTTCCCTATCCTGAGCAAGTTGTCATCATGTTGATTCTGGACTCATAAATCTATGCTCTATAGGGTTTTAATGGGTGATTATTTCAGAAGTAGATCATGTGCTCTGAAATTAATTCTCTTGAGTTGTCAGCAAAGAAAATTGAATTGTGTAAAATTTTTGTGATCCTTCTTTTGATGTGGCTCTGGATAAATTCAACTGATCAGTCTTTTGGTTAGTTGCCAGCTAATACTAGTGCTCTTTTCACAGCTCAGCAACTCATACTAAGTCAGAACTCTGGTGTAAATGTATTTTCCTAAATGAAGGTATCATTTAGAAGACCATTAACAACGTCCTTTGGAAAAAAAATTAGCCATCACCACACACCCAAAATTAGTGAATGTTACCTCCCCTAAATTACTTCATCTTGGTAAAAGGGAGATATATATGGCCTAGTGTGTGTACCCTTGAGTAAGTTGTGCATATGAACCTAGTGTCTGTTGATGAAAATTTTGCTGTGTCTGAAATTAGCACCAGTGAGTGCAGAACTTGCTGTCTGGAATCCATAAGAATCTCTTTTCCCAACCCCAGCTTTCATGGTCATGTCTCTCATATGCTCTGAAATGATGAATTATGAGTCAGGATGAATGGTGTTAAATATGAGCATCTGGAGGATATTGTTGTTGTTGTTTGCCTTCAAGTTGAACATGACTCATAGCAACCCTATGAACAAAAGGCCTGAAGCCTTTCTGTAACTGTCAACATTTATCAAAGTTCATAATTTCCAGAAGTGTATTGTTTATCCCAGAGTTGTAATGTTCATGTTGTAATGTTGTATTTTATAATGTTCCAGAGGACATTATGCTGTGTGAAATATCTCACTCACTGCATAATACTGCTCTTATAGAATAGGAGACACAGAGGGGAGGGGTAAACATGGCATTAGAACAGATGAAGGGAAGAACTTTCTGAAAGGAATATATGATTAGGCATTGTATGTATGAAAATAGTCTTGAACAGAGGGTGCATTGTGGTGGGGAGAAAAAACATTCAACAATTTTAAAAAATAACTATTATATAAAAAGAAATAAATACGTCCATCTGGTAAGCTTCTTTTTCCCCAATAATTTAAGTGTGGCTTTGTGTAGTATTATGACTTTGGTATATTGTGTAATATTACCCTTTAGCTTCTTGGATTCTTGTTCTTACGACTTGAGGTGAATGGATTTTTTCCTTTGGTTCAATGGCATTTCATGCTTAGGCTCATTTACTTTTTGGTAATTTTTTAAATTTTATAAACAGAAATTTAATCTCACACTGTTAAGGATGTATGATTCTGAATTCAGGATACTGACTCTAGGTTTTTACTCTCTGTCATTTCTGAGAAGTTTGGCTAGCCTTTTGAAGTGATAATTTTTAACGTTTCTTATGTTGAACTTGAGTCATTTACAAGCATTTGGTTTCTTTACCAAGCCCCTTTGCTTTACTGAACTCTTCAACTGTGTGTGAGTGAGGAGAAACCAAGAGGGAAAGTAAGAAACTGAAACTTTTTTCAGTAGATTTTAATGAAATTCTACCATTTTGCTGAAGCCAGAAGAAAACGTCATTGGTAAGTAATCTTGACCATACTCCCATCAAGCCTTTGTCGCCCACATGTGAGACTAGAATTTCTTCTGAAACCAGGAGGTTACTATATGCCTTTTGTTAATTATAGTTGTTGTTATACAATGCCATCAAGTTAAGTATGATTCATGGTGAACTTATGAACAACAAAGCACACTTAGATTATACTAGCAGATATGGCACCAGAGACTGGGCCTTTGTGTTGGGAATTACCAAAGAGCAGGAACAGTTACAAACAGAGGCTAGTGACTGGAACATGGAATGTGAGAAGTATGAATGTAGGATAATTGGAGATTTTTAATAAGTAAATGGAGCACATAAATATTGCTATAGTAGACAATGATGAAATGAAATGGGTTGGCATAGGACATTTTGAATCAGACAATCGTATGATCTACTATGCTGTGAAAATGGAGGGAAATAGAATCACATCCATAGTTAAAAAGACCATATCTAGAACCATCTTGAAATACAATGTTGTGGACAGCAAGATAATATCCATACACATACAAGGAAGAACTGTTAATACCACCATCATCCAAATAAATGTACCAACAGTCAGAGACAAAGAGAAAGAAATACAGGACTTCTACCAACTTTTGCAGTCAGAAATTAATTGAATATGCAACCAAGATGCATTAATAATACTGGGTGACTGGAATGAAAAATATGGGAACAGGGAAGAAGTATCAGTAATGGAAAACATGGACTTGGTAACAGAAATGAGACTGAAGATTGAATAATAGAATTCTGTACAATCAATGATTTATTTATTGCAAATACCTTTTATAAGAAAAATGGTGATGATTGACATAGACTTCACCTAATGGTCTACACAAGAGTCAGATTGATTACATTTGTGGGGGAAAAAATTGTTGGTGAACCTCAGTATCAGCTGTGAAAACTAGGCCAGGTGCAGATCATCAACTACTCATATGCAAGTTCAAGTTGAAGCTAAAGAAAATTAAATCCACAAGAACCAAAGTTTGATGATGAATCTATCCCACCTGAATTTAAAAACCATCCGAGGAACAGGTTTGAGGCGTCGAACACTAATGAGCAAAGATCAAATGAGCTGTGGGAAGATATCAGGAGTATCATCCATGAAGAATGCATAAGAAGAAGAAAAGACCAAGATAGAAGTCAGATGAGACTGAATATTGCACTAGACTGCTGAAAATGCAAAGCAGAGGAAAGAAATCAAGAAGTTAAAGAGCTGAATAGAAGATTTCAAAAGGCTGCTTGGTTTTGATTTTCATCTCTCTTAATGCCAGTGATTTGGAGCATTTCTTCATGTGTCTGCTGGCCATTCGAATATCTTCTTCTGTAAAAATTCTTTACATGTCTGTTGCCCATTTTGTAATTGGGTTATCAGTCTTTTTCTTGTGGAGGCCCAGGAGTAATCTGTAAACTTTTGTTATGAGACTTTTGTCTGAGATTGAATTACCAAATGTTTGTTCCCAGTTTGTAGGTTTTATTTTCACCCTGTTTGAAAAAGGTTTTGATAATTAATCTTTAGAAGGTCCCATGCATCAGTTTTATCCTCTTTAGATTGTGCATTTCTGGTTGTATTTGGCAGTCTCTGTACCTTAGACTAGTGCTTCTAAGCTTGATCCCAATTTGTCTCTTAAGAACATTATAGTTTGGGGCTTTACTCCCAGGTCTCTGATGCACCTTGAGTTGATGTTTGTGTATGGTGTGAGATGTGGATCCTGTTTCAGCTTTCTGTAGGTGGACGTCCAGTTTTGCCAGCTCTCTTTGTTTAAGAGGTTATCATTTCCCCATTTGATAGTTTTTATTTCCTTGTCCAATATCAGTTGACCATAGATATCTGGGTCTATTTCTGGGCTCTCAATTCTGTTCAGGTCAATGTGCCTGTCATTATACTAGTACCATGCTGTTTTGGTAGGTTTTGAAATCAGGGAGTGTTATACCTCCATCTCATTTTTGTTCCTCAGAAGTGTTTTACTTATTCAGGGTCTCTTGTATCTCCAAATAAATTTGGTAATTTCCCTTTCAATCTCCTTGAAAAATAAATTTGATATCTATATTGGTGTTGCATTGAACATGTAGATTGCTTTGGGTAGGATTGTCATTTTCACCATATTGAGTCTTCCTATCTATGAACAGGGCACATTTTTCCATTTCTTTAGGTCGTTTATTGTGTCTTTCAGAAATGCTCTATAGTTTTTTTTTATGTGGTTGTCTATTGTAAATGGTATTGCTTTCTTTATTTTCGTCTTTGAAAGTGCTAGACCGCCTTCCATTGTGGCTGTACCTTTTTACATTCCCTCCAGCTGTGAATAGAGTTACAATATCTCCACAACCTTGTCAGTATTTGTTGTTGCCTGCCTCATAAAACTTTGCTATTGTTGCTGAGGTAAAAATAAAATAAAGGCTACTTGGGAAGACAAAGTCTAAAAATATTATACTGAAATGTGCAAAGAACTGGAGTCAGAAAATCAAAAGGGACAAACTTGATCCACATTTCTTAAGCTGAAGGAACTAAAGAGCAAATTCAAGATTCGAATTGCAATACTTAAGGAAGCTACAGGCAGGATATTGAATGACCAGAGAAGCATCAAAAGAAGATGGATGGAGTACTATACCAAAGAGAACTGGCTGACACAGAAGAATTTCATGAAACAGCATATGATCAAGAGGCCGTGGTAATGAAGGAGAGAGTTCAGGCTGCTCTGAGGTAATTGGTAGAAAACAAGGCCTCAGGAATTGATGGAATACCATTTGACATATTTCAGCAAACAGGTGTGCTCACTAGGTTGTGCCAAGAAATCTGGTGGACAACCACCTGGACAACTGACTGGAAGACATACATATTTATTGACATTAAAAAAATGGTGATCCAACAGTGTGGAAATTATTGAACAATATCACATGCAAGATCCTACTGAAGATTATCCAGAAACGACTGAAATAGTACATCGGCAAAGAACTGCCAGATGTGTAAGCTGGGT